TTAAGAGGGTTTTTTTTGATGATGAAGTGATATTGTGCATAGCCTGGCGGTTAAGAGCAAAGACCAGGGTCAGGCAGACTGGGTTCAATCCCGGGTCAAAGCCACTCCCCACCTTTGTGACCTGGTAAAGCTACTGCCTGAGCCCCAATGTCCTCTCTGTAAAATTCGAACGGTATACATTCGTGGAAATGAGGTTAAGCTCTCAAACCCTTAATGTGATCCAGAGTCACAGGTTTGTTTATTTTTCCCCTCCTTATGTGAGGGAAGAAAGTGCCCGTGATTTTTTTCTGCCTTAACAAAGAAGACTCCTGGCTACCCATGCCTCTGGGAAAGGAGATGTCAGTTTCGACGATATAGCCAGAGCCATTATTGCAATGAAGAGAACTCAGAATCACAGACTTTTTAGAGGTTAAAGGTTACTTTCCTGGGATGTGGTGACAAGCCCTAAGTCCAGGCACCCTGGAGTGCTGGTCCTGGGGCCATTCACACAGCCCCGGGAGGGGAGAGATTTCTCTCTCCAGCAGTCCCAGCCTCAGGAGTTTTCAGGACCAGGGTTGGAATTCCATTAGTCAGGGTTGAAAGAACAGCAAACAAGTAGGCCTGGACGTCTCAAGCTTTCAGTGTATAATGAATTATAGCGTATTTACCAAGACCATCACCACAACCCAAATGTAGAACATTTCCGTCACCCTAAAGAGCGGGTAATATTCTACATCCAGAATCCTCTCTCTGTCGTCCCTGAGGCAACATTTTATCTTAGATTAGAATCTGTGCAGAGAAATCTTATCTTCCATTCTTCAAATTTCCGTTTCTTTCGAGGCAACATTTTATCTTAGATTAGAATCTGTGCGAGAAATCTTATCTTTCATCCTTCAAATTTCCTTTCTTTCTTGTTTTTGTTTTGTTAATCCTCACCTGAGCATATTTCCCCCCATTGATTTTGAGAGATAGTGGAAGGGAGGGGGAGAGACAGAAAGAGAAAAAAGGGCCCTGGGAGAGAGACCATTGATGGACTGGTTGCCTCCGGGGATTGAGCCTGCGACCCTTCAGTCCTAAGGCTCAGATTTCCTTTTTACAGTAACTTCAGTCCATTTACTATCCAGATGACAACCTTTAAGGTCTCCGGCATTAATATAATTATTTCTGTGGCCTTTTAAAAATTAAACACACACTAATTTCTAAAGCAGTTTTAGGTTCACAGCAAAGCTGAGTGGAAAGTACAGAGAATTCCCATACATCCCATTCCCCCCACACGCCTGGACCCAGCTCACTATCAACAACCTGACCAGAGGGCACATTTGCTACAAACCATGAACCTATACAAACACGTCATTCGCATCCAAAGTCCATAGTTTACGTCAGGTTCACTCCTGGTGCTGTACATGCCAGGGGTTTGGACAAATATACAATGACACGGATCCACTATTATGGCATCATACAGGATACGGAATAGTTTCACTGCCCTAAAACCCCCGTTGTCTTTGCCTTTTTATGACTACTATTTTTAGTCAGACGTCAGTTTGTGTACTTTAACTTTTATCTGATAACTCAGTAGGAACACTAAGGTCGTTAAACCTAAGTTAAATTGTCTTTCTTTTTTTCCTACTGGGGTAACTTTTAGAGAGATAAAGGTTTATAATAAAAGTCCAGAATATGTTTATACTTTTATTAATCATTTAATTGTTTTTACACATATACTTTTATTCATTTTATTTTATTCTTTGAAATAGATTATTTACCTTTTTTAGCTTTATTGACGTATAATTGATATATAAAAATTGCATATGCTTAAGTATATATTTTGGAGAACTAGATGACGTACCTTTTAACCAAGGTTTTATAACTCTACTGAGTAATTAAATTTTCTCCTGTTGTATGGCATTTTTTCCAAGTAGAAAACCATTCTTAATCTGAAAATGAAGTTTTAAAACCTATTTGAGTATCTGGAAGACTGAAATTTATGAGCGGGTGACTATAGACAGTACGTTTATTATTTTCTCCTATTTCATTTAACATGTATTTATTGAGCATCTACTCTGTCCAAGCATTGTACTAACTAAGCCTGGAAATTTTTCCTTAATGGCTCTCACATTAAAGCATTAGGAATTTTGGCTTGATATCTTCATTTTCTTTTCTTTTTTTTTTTTTTATATTCCAAAAGTTTTTTTTTTTAATTAAATCTTTATTGTTCAGATTATTACATTTGTTCCTCTTTTTCCCCCCCATAACTCCCCTCCTCCCAGTTCCCACCCCACCCTCCGTCCTCACTCCCCACCCACTGTCCTCATCCATAGGTGCACGAGTTTTTTCCAGTG